CTCTTTCTGGCTTCTCACTAAGCATGATCTTTTCCATGGAGCTCGTGTTTTACTACTACAACCAGGCTCATTAAAAACAGCATGGTGCCCAGACAATGGCCACTTGCACCTGCACCCGGACTCCCCAGAGCCAGAAGACCCCGCCCTGCATCTGTGCACCACCCACACAGCCACACAGCCAGCTCCTCCCCAGGCACAAACCTCCGCCTCCATCCAGGAAGCCCTGGGGCCCCCAGGCTCAGAAGCATTTCCCCCCTGGGCCCCCCACACCACCTGTCAGCTCAGAGGCACCACACACAGCAGAGACAGCGTGGCCTGGTGGTCTCGGCCAGTCTGAGCCAGAGGATGAAGGACAGGACAGGCAGGTTCAAGTTCTCCCAGGCATCTTGTGGTCAGCCTGGACTCCGAGATCTGTAGCCCTCCCGCTTCCTTCCCCAGGGACCCTCCGGCCTGCTCTGACCTCCAGGTTACCTGGTCTCAGGCCCAACCCCCCAACACACTTGACCTTTTCAAAAATGTGCCCCTGCTCACCCTAGTTCTGTCTATTCCTCACGGAGGAGGCCCCCAGTCTGCTTGGGTATCTGGTCCCCTGTCTCTGGGGTGCGGCCATGGTCTCGGGTCCCCACTGGTTTCTCTTTCTCTGGAGCCCGACCCCTTTCAGGCTTGGCTCTTTTCTGCCTGCCTCTTGAATGCTTATTCCTGGCTGTATCAGACAGACAGCTGCTGCCTGGATGGGGCCTCACCACAGTGGTGGAGAGATGGGAGCCTCTGGCATTTCAAAGCTGGACTCTATCCTCGGCATCCTTGTTTGAACCCCATAGTTAGAGGGTTTTCTCCTTGTAATGACCTCCATCTGCACACAATGTCCACCCCCAGGCTGAGGAGAGCCTTATCCTGGGGGTCACCTGCCTGCATTCACACAAAGGCTCCCTTCCGACAAAGCAGCTCTAGTTCCTCAACCACAAAGCGAGGTGACTTGATCATTTTTGAAACAGGCCCTCCCTGGTGGCGCAACGGGTTGGGATGCAGCACTGCACTTTGGTGTGAATTTGATCCGCGGCCCTGGAGGTGACCCACATGGCACGGCAGACCTCTCCTGACCCGCCCGCTGATCCCCTCAGCAGTCTACTTTGTCAGTCGTTCTGTTCTGCTCCCCACTCTGTCTCTGGTGAAGCCTCTCATCACCCCTGCACCTCTAGCTTGTACCCCTGCTCTGTATCAATCAGTAAATAAATCTTTTTCTAAAAAGTTAATAAATAATACCTATGCATCATGGTAGTTCACTACATGTTTGCTAGTTGATGCCAATGTTACTTTCAAGTAACAAAAAGGAACATATGTGTGATCTATATGGTGTCACAAATATAAATACAGACGTCCGACGTCGTAAGTGGTAGATAGGGCTGCAGTGCTAACTGATGACCTGTACGTGTGAGAGGTGATGACCAGAGTCGGGATGTCCATCTGGTCTGGATTTGGTTTCCATTTGGAAAACCAGCCTGCAGTGATCACTTCACCTGCCGGGATATAAATGTTGACATCTGTGTTTTTGTCAAGAGGAAGGGGTCAGGGCTACTAAGAGCTACCAGCTAACTGAGCAGAACACACAGGAGGTCACAGCCTTGTCACATCTTGGTGTTTGATCCCTCCCAGATAGGAGAAAAGTTTGAACAGGAGGGAAGAGAGACAGGATCTGATGAAACTGAAATCTTCACGGCTCTGGGGCCAGGTGTCCATAGAGTTTGCAGAATGGATCAGAGAGATTCTCCGTCCATCCCATTCTGCTGGAGCTGTAAACCATGACTGATCCACCCTCAGGCACACAGTGAGATGTTCTTCCTAATGGCCACATAACACACTTTTATCTTCTAGTCTATCATGATGTATGCATTTCTTTTTGTTTTTATCAGAACACAAACATCACTGAGGTAAGAGCACTGTCTTCCTATAGCTTTGCACTATGTAACCATTCAATGACTACAAAGGAGTGAAGAGAACTTGATGTTCCAGGAAGGAGGGTGGACAGCAGAAATTTCTGCTTTGTTCACTGTGTATCTCTAGTTCTGTGTTGAATCAAAAAAAAAAAAAAAAGGCCAATTAACCACCTGTCTTTGAAGGAGGTTCACTGTCTTTGAAGTAGTAGACAGTGTCGCCAATCATTGAGTGTGTGCTTGTGTGAAAGGAGAAAGAGAGGAGGAGAAGGAAGAAGTAGGGTGAGGAAAACAAAGAGAGAGAGGAGACCCGGAAGGGAGAAAGAGAGACAGAGAAAGAGAGCGAGAGTCACAGGATGCCACCTGGTAGTGTCGCTCCTTGGCTTGTTGCTGGGCCTCACTCTGGTCCTGGCTAACCTGGAGCACTGACTGCAGGGGGAGAGCAACCGGTCGCCACTAGGCGGCGCTGTGGTTCTGCCAGAATCCCGATGCCCAGGAAGGAAGGTTGGAGGGGGAGAGGAAGTGTTACGGGGCACCCCAGTGTGAACTGCGCCGCCTGTCTGTGGGGCCTCACGCTTAAAGTTCAGTTGTACTGCAGGAGCACACAAAAGGGTCAAAATGGGTTTATTTACAAAAGGGGGAAGGAAAAGGACACAAAAACTGGAATATCTTACCAGCTGGGCTGACTTGGAGCTCTGGTGACAAACCAACTGAAAGCCCCGAGTCAAGCAGTTCCGAGAGCCGTTTCCTGAGCGAGAGTGCCCGAAGCAAATGGCGCCCTATTTATCCCCCAAAGTCCCAGCATGCTGCTTAGCTCCGCCCTTGGGTCCTCCCAGTTCTCTCCCTGGGACTGCTGGGAGTTGTAGTTTTTAGTCACTGGCGTAGGGGGCTGAGTCCACGGAACTCTGCAGTTCCTTTAGGACATCCTCCCCTTAACAGAAGGACCCATGGCAGGAATACAGGTGGTTCTCGTAGGGATGATTCAGCAGTGTCTGGAGACTGGTGCAGGCGGACAACTCTGCCAAGTGTCTTTTTGCAGCAGCTAAGACACAACCCTGCACAGTAGCTGTCTCCCCAAGCACAACCCCCTGGCCCAGACAAGAAGGGGTGCTGGCAACCTGTTGCCCACACTTGAGATTCTGTTTAGGCTCCTGGTAGGCCCATGACCGGAATTTCAATCCACAGGATAGACGGCCAATATAACCCACGCAGCACACACAAGTCAAACAGAATCTGACCTCTCAGTTACGGGGTTCACAGCAAGGCCACAGACGCCACAAACAAGAAATGACACTGGCCTGTGTATGGAAGACCTGAACTGATGGGGAAGCCATCCCTTGTCTTTCTGTGCTGCACAGGTCTATGCTGTTAGGGTGGGAAACAGATTTTTATTTAAGACATGGATGTGGTATGTAGAGAAAACAAACAGAAAAACTAACTAAATAAAAACAAACTGTGGGACTAGGAGATCACTTAGTGGTGATCAGAAGGGAAGAGAAGGTGGATAAATTAGGAAAAAGGGAATGATGATCTGGAAGGTAGCTGGGGGTTTTAGCAGTGAACTCGATGCAGCATAAACACACTTGATTAATAATAGTGTACACCTGAAACTCTGACAAGGTCAATGTGCAATGTTATTTCAGCGAAAATACAGGTGAAACGCAAACAGTCAGAAAAGTGTGATAGAAAAGCCTAAAACAAAAGTGATAGTAAAAGTTTCTAAGTCTCAAAGGAAATCCAGGTTATCAATGAGTTCACTGTTTAGTGCATGATGCTGCCTCTTCACACAGCATCTGGAGCCCGGGTCCGCCAAATCCCCTGGCCACCAGACCGCAGAGCTGGGGCAGAGCGTGCCTCTGAGATGTGACCCCATTTCTCATCACCCCTATCTCTACTGCTACCAACAAACGCCCCAGAAGAGAGTGGATTCTGGTTTCCTTGTGTAACAGGACTTCTTTAGGGCAGGCCGACCTTTTCTAGGATAGATTCAAGAAAGTTTCCTGGAGGGACTTGTGCGAGGCTACCCAGGAAATCAACTGGGGACTTTCCAGAAAAGAATCTAGACACCGCGGCAGGAATGTTCCCGAGCAGTACATGACAGAGGCAGAAGCCCCCAGGGACCCTGAGGCAGTGAGGTTCTTTGGGGATCCCTGGTAGCCGTGTGACTCTGGGCTCACAGCCGTGGGCATTGCTGTGGGGCCAGCAGGGAGCCGGGGTCTGAGCAGCAGGGCAGACTGGGCAGGAGTGGGTGCCACAGCGTGTCCCTGGCAACGAGGAGTGGGCCTGGTGTCTACAAACCGACCCGCTGCGCAGAAGCCCAGAGGTGAGATTCTTGAAGCATCTACTGGAGAGATGTGCAGGGGACACTTACCAGGAAGCCTGGGTCCCCTACCGTAGGGCGGACACCTCAGACCAACAGCCCAGAGGCTGAGTCCTCCATGCCCGCTCTGGCACGCAGATTATTTCAAACGGAGCCCGAGGAAGCCCTGGAAGATGACGGTGGCCTTCCTTTCCCCTTAAGCTCTCCCAGCCCCTTCCCAGTGCGGGCACCCCTCACCTCTCTGGCACCCTGGCCCCTGCCCTGTTCCGTGGGCCAGGGCATAAATCCCTTTCCTGCCTCAAGATGGCGGAACCGCAAGATGGCTGCA